AGCAGTAGCAGCAGCAGCAGCAGTACTAGTACTAGTAGTACTAGTACTACTACTACTACTACTACTACTACTACTACTACTATACTACTACTACTACTACTACTACTAGTAGTAGTAGTAGCCGTCGTAGTGAAATGACTGTCATTATCACTAATGTAACTACTGCTAGTCTTATTGTTGCCCGTGTTAGTGTTTGTTGCTAACCGGTTTCTAATTACAATAATATTAGCTATGAGTATTTGCTGATAAATTGTTCGTTCATATTCTTCTTATCGTTGCAAAAGTCATTATTGTTAGTTCTTTTAGGGCTTTTACTGTTAATACTGTTCTCTTGATGATTTATACGAATAGTGTTAGGAGTACTACTAGCACTATAAGTAGTACTATTCGCATGATGCTTATTTCTACTGTCCCCATACTGAAAACTATTCTTGCTGATTGTTGTTATGCACTGTCCTCGCTATTCTAAAAAACGACGACGACTACCACTCGACACGATAAAGTCCTCACCCCGAAACCCGGAGAGTCGTAGGCCCCGACATCGAATGGCCGAATCCTCCAGCCCTCAACCCGGCGAATGGGTAAAATTATCCCTAGGCCCCGGGCCCCATAGTAGTTCCTTTTTGGGATTACCTAATAGGATCCTAAATATAAGCCGCGAAAAGGAACTACCATGAGGCCTATGCTCTAAACCCTAAACCTAAAAGCTCCTTAATTTTCAATCCCCATCCCTATTTCCGAGAGACTCTAGACCCCAAGCGCAAAAACGAAGCCTTGGCCCTAAGCCCTGTAGTGCCCTGATAGAAACACTACTTATGTGCAACAATCCGTAAGTTTCGGTGAAGGCCTAATCTCTGGTCACGGCTGGCCACAGATTCAGATCCCAAATCTTGCATCCTCGAAGCCTAAGTGACCCTTAGCCCTCATCCTTACTGTAAGTCTTGGGAAACCCTGAACTATGGCTACCTTATGCACCCCATATAGGAATGGTAGATGAAGTTTTTAGTGAAATATTAGAAGATGAATTATTTGATTACCCTAAACCCTAAACCCTAAACCCTAAACCCTAATCCTAATCCCTGGCCAAGGCTTGCTACCGCCGGACAGGATTTGGCCATGGATCCGATTCCCACGCGGGCCGCGGTTCGGAAGTGCCGCTGCTTACAGGGGTTTAGGGTCTAGGGTTTAGGGTTTAGGGTTTGCAATCCGAGTTTGAGGCTTTTCAGTGCTTTTTTAAAAACGCAACTTTGGAGGCCTCAATCGAGTCTTTGCAGGATTTGTTTGTGGTGTTTTGGAGGGATTTTCATTGGGTTTTGCAGTGTGTTGGAAAGGCTTTTAAGTAGACTTTCATATTTTGGTTCAGGTTTCGCCGGGGTTTAGGCATCAATATTCGCAGCAAAGGGATGAACTCGAAAAGTTCATCCCTGTTCTTTGCATGCCCATCATCCCGTCGTAGCGAGCTCAACGGAACACCTGGTTTCGCTGGCCTGAACATGTAAGGCAGGCCCCTGATTAACAAACCCCGCTCTCCCGAAGGTCCCTTCGTATACTATATTGGGTTCACTGTTCACTGTGATCAGAATCCTTACGCAAATCGCACAGGGATGGTTCTTAATCAAACGGGTAACATTCAGCAATCAGCCTGTAGATATAGAGTGCACACCCGGATGCTTGAAACCGTTGCCTCTGAGCCAGAACCTCTCTCCCGGCCATTGTGTCTTAGCCTGTTAAAAAAATCCGGTAAACTCTACACCCAATTGAAACGACTTCAACCTGATTCAGGATCTCGGAAAATTCCATGAATCTACCGAAGCACAGTCTAGAAACACGCCGAGACTACAGATGTCTGCTTCAAGACTTCACGAAGGCCATGTACTAAGACAACAGCCTACGTCCCTGAAGTCCCCACGACATAGGATGATTGCGGTTATTATCATTCTTATCATTATTATTGCTACTATCGTTATTGTTACCGTTAGTAGTGTGACTTTTGTTTTTCGGCCCTCAGCCTCAACAGTGAAGCCCATGGCCCTGAGTTCGGCAGCCCCACCCAGGACGGGCTACGAATCCACCGAATCGTATTCTCCGACCCTCAGCTAGAACCTAGACAAAGGGCCACCCTTGCCGTAGTTTTTGACGAGTTGTAGACTTTAAGTTCGGGATTTAGGGTTAGGGTTTTGGGTTTAGGAGTCTTGGGTTTTGGGTTTAGGGTTTTAGGGTTTAGGTTCGGGGTCTATGGCGTTTATGGGTTGTAGAGTTTTGAGACGATATGCTGGGTCGGTTGTTTTCACGGGGCGGCAGGGGCCTCGTTCTTGGATTGATAGTGCCAAGGCATGAATATGAAAAGTTTAAACCTTAGCCCTAAACCAGCTCATGGTCCTTGTGGCAGCCGGGAGCACCATCTCTCCAGCCAGTGGGTCTGCGAAACTTGCTTGTCTCAGCGCATTGGAGATCGGATGACGAGCCGACACCCGCAGACTTCATGTTCAAAGCTTGTGCTGTCCATCCACCATGTCTGCTACGAGAGAACCAGGGCGCCTTTCCGGGGAAGATGCGGCCCCTTGTGCTCTGTCATCCTTGCCAACCCCTAACCCCCCAGGTACCTAATATATAGGGCCCTACTAGGAGCTCGAGTACCCTATATAGTAGGTACCTGGGGGGTTCGGGAACGGCATGGTAATCATCTCAAACATCGAGGAATTTGCTTGGAAGTTTCCGCAGATCCTCCTTGGATGCGTGCAGGGCTCAATGGTCCGGGCCTGCCTGTGCCCATGGCAGGGGAAGACAGAGCAGCATTCCCAGAACCTTCATCCGGCAGCCACTGTTTAGGGTTTAGGATTTCCTGAGCAAGCGCTTCAAGAAGCTTTGGATCGCCATGGCAGTGGCTCTCCAATGCGTCCTGTGGCTCTGCCACGTTGAGCTTCAAATTATGGATGCTGGGCCCGATGACAAGATCCTCACTCTCTGCATCGAAGCAATCCGATGCAGCTCTTTCTTCGTGGCTTGCGGCTTGTGGGACTACGGGTGTCGAAATGCGCCAGCTCGGAGCACCAACTGTTTTGGGAGTCAAGCGTAGGCGGGAATTAAGGTTTGGGTTTTAGGGATGCTTCGGGCGGCGAGATTTCAGGCCTAATTTCCCCTGAGTTCCGGGATCATAAGCGAGATTTTGGGGTGCGGGTTTTTGAATTTGGATTGTGTAATTACACCCAACCCAGCAGCACAACTTTCGGAGGAGGATGAACCAGGAAGTTACCAGACGCCGTTGCGAGTCTCCCCGCTTGCTTGAGGCTTAGAGCTTCATCGTTTAAGCTGTCACAGTTAACAGCAAGCAGTCTCACACCCGAATGTCCACGCCCCAGGCTCTACATGCTAGACTGTTCACATGTGCATCTTTGATATTCTTTGCTCATTGACATCCACGAGTCCTATCAAGCCCGGAAGCTAGCCCTTGCTTGTGTTTCGTTGAGATGCAATAAATACGGGCTTGAATGTTGATAAGTTATCCTACAACCATCGTACAAAAAACCTAAGAGGGAGAGGGATGACGAGTCAGAGTATAGCTCCAGCACACAAAGCTGGTCACCTCTGGGTTCCAAAAAATGCGTAAGACAGTACGTTGATTTGCTCTAAATTATTATTAGCTTGTGTGGAGCCTTGCCTGCTGTGTGCGAGTGTGAGAGTCGAAATTATTATTAGCTCCGGTGGCTAGCCAAAAGAACATGACTTGGCGACGAGTTCAGGCGTACTCTGGGCCAGTGGGTTTCCTGCTGTTTTACCATCTGAAGGAACTCCGGCTGTTGGCGTTTCCAGGTCCGGTGCCTTGCGCCTATGACACTAAACCTAAAACTCTAAAGCCCTACAGTTCGAAGAACCAAGGAAGTGGCTGGAGCCCGGAGAATTTCCGGTGAAGGTGGAGACTGCTCTGATTTTCAAAATTTGGGTGCAAATTATCAGGGGGCTTCGCTTCAGGGGTTTCGAAAAAACGGGTGTTACAAGGGTCGGAGTTTTTTCATTTTGGGTTTCCAGGTTTTAAGGGACAGTAGGAGGGACCCATACCCTATATAACCCTTATATACCCCTTATATCGTCTCATAAAGCCCCTATATAACCCCAAGGGTCCCTTTAAGGGTCCCTCCTTTAGTCCCTTGAAGGTTTCGGGCTCAGGTTGCCAGTCTTTGGGTTAGGGGTTCCGTGCTGAGGGTCCAAGGAGCATTGACGTGTTTGGGCTTCAGGGGCTTGGAGACCGAAGTAATGTAGGGGCCTTAATAATTAGAATAGGGTGTATTTGTAATTAAAGTATTATATACCCCAAACCCTATTCTAATTATCAAGGCCCCTATATTATTTAAGTGGGGAATTTTATTCGCCCCAAAGCCTCAAAGGATACCAATCCGCAGCCGAAGCACTGACGGCTCAGGTCCCAGAAGTTGACATCTGGGTAGACAAGATATAGGCCCGAAGCTCCGTAGCCGTATCAACCTTCGGTCAAAAGCCACATAAGTTTCGTAAGTCGCTAAGAGCATAAGCGTGGAATCCTAAACCTTCAAAACCTCGAATTCCGGATCCTAAAAACAAAAAGGACCCCAAACCCACACAGCCCCTAAGTGGTGCAGCTTGGAACGGAACCATATTGAAAACAGAGGGCAAGCTTGAATCGACAAACAATAGTTATTTTTGTCAAGTAGAATCCCGGTTCCTTAAATCAAAGAGATGTACACAACACGCAGGATACGTCCAACCCCCAAATTAGCACCCCAGGTGCCCCAAACCCCAACAGAACCACAGGGAGATGTTCTTAACCTGAAGCAGTGAATCCCTTGACTCTCAGCCCTGAGCCCTCTGCCCTATACTCCCTGAAAGGCAGCTTAGAGAAGCAACCCTTATAGAGGTATGGAGAGCTTAAAGGAAGGAACCCTTGTACGAGCCCTGACACTACACTTAAACCCAGAAGCCAAAACCCCAAGCATACAAAACCCCTGCCATGTCGGCTCGTCCTTGCGAAGTAGGACGCCAGAAACAAAGTCACCCTAGACCCCTAAACCCTAAACACAAAGCCGGATCCTTAAACCCTAAATCCCTAAACCCTAAACCCCCCAAAAAACCCTATACCCTAAACCCGAAACCCCTAAACCCCTAAACCCCAAATCCCTAGGAAATGGACCCAACAGAGCCGGCAATCGGGCCGCCCATCGAGTCGCACTTCGACCTGAACTTCCGCATCGCCGTGTCCTTTAACGGAGTCTTGAAAGCAGGCTTTGGGACTTTAGAGGTTTAGGATTTGGGACTTTAGGGGTTTGGGGCTTTGGGGGTTTGGGGCTTTGGGGGTTTAGGGCTTTAGGGTTTAGGGTTTGGGGGCTTTAGGGTTTAGGGTTTGGGGCTTCAGGGGTTTAGGGCTTTAGGGTTTAGGGTTTGGGGCTTTAGAGGTTTAGGGTTTAGGGCTTTGGGGCTTTAGAGGTTCAGGGTTTGGGGTTTTGGGCTTCAGAGATGTTGGGTTTTAGGGTTTAGGGTGTGGGGCTTTAGGGTTTAGGGTTTGGGGCTTTAGGGTTTCAGGGTTTCAGGTTACTTAAGGGTTTCGGGTTTTAGGGTCTAGGTAATACGGCCTACTAAGGTCCCTTTAAAATATATATATATATATATATATAGAGTGAATATGATATAGCTGTAGCCTAAACCCTGTAATCTATAAAAGGAGCCTTATAGGGCCTACACCGTTCTTGTATGTGATTATGATAAACCGTAGCTGTAGCCCCTACTCTGTATATAGGGGTTCTTGAGCTTCCAAGCTGTGCACTGGACGCCCCAGAGACGAGGACCGGATGGCGACTTCTACATCGCCTCCGGGCGGGTGGCCTCGACGCCGCTCTGCTAAAAGGGTATACGCGGGGATCGCTTTGATTGATAGATTCCTTTAAGGGTTCGCGGTTTGGGGCGTTTAAGGAGTTTAGGAGGTTTGGGAGTGAGTAGTTTTGGGGTTTGGGTTTTTCGGGGTTTGGGGGTTTAGGCTTTGGGCGGCGTAAGGAGTCTAGATTTTAGTAGCGGGCTGCTAAGAAGAATGATTACAAGGGTTTGGGACTTGAGGGTTTTTGGCTTGAGGCTTTGCGGACCAGGATCTTGCAGCCACCGGTGCAAGCCCTGGTCAGACCCCGCAAGTCCTTTGCCCCTAAGATCCCGCCCGCTCGACATCACTCAATGGTCGGCGCATATCCCTTATGCCCAACATAACCTTAGTGGCTTAGTAGGTAACCTTTAACCTTTTGGTGTTTATACAATCCTACCATAATTGAAAAGGTTAACCTTTTTTGGGCTAGGGCCC